AAATATATATATTTTTTTAATTTAAAAAATCATAACTCACTCATTTTTCAAAAATATGATTTCCAAAATATTTCAAAGAAAAACAATAAAAATTGTACTAAGCAGATTTTTATTTTTCTCTTTAATTTTGTTAAATATTTAAATATAAAACTTACTGAGATGATGGATGCATTTTAAAATAAACATTTAAATAGGAAAAATATGCAATAAGAAACTGAAGTTTTACTTTCTATCAACTAAACTTAAAAAATAAATAAGATAAACTGAAACTAATCATGATATTTTGCTTTATTATATGAAACAGCTTTAAAAGTCTAGAAATATATATTCTTTAACAAGTAATGCAAAAATAGAATGGTCAAGAAATAAATATAATAGAACAAAAAATAAATTTGTTATCACTAATATATTTTTCTCAAAGATTCCGAAAGAGGAGAGCGTCTGCTTCTGGTTGCTAATGGCAACCAGAACTGACCTAACCGCAGCGATCGTTCCTAAATTACGGTGTGAACTGAGATCACGTGACTAGTTCGCTTTCGTGTAACCAGTGTCACCGGTGCGAATATTGGAACGCAACCTAAGTAAAAATATCACGTAAAAACAGAAAATAAAAAATAAAGAAAAAACAGAATAAAACATGAAATGAAATCTATAAAGCAAGTAGCAAATTCAAATGAACTGACATGAAAGGACATTTTAAATCATTCTTGAAAATACATTTTTCAAGAATGATTTAAATGATCAAAAGCGCAAATTGAGCTAAAAGCGTAACTAGGGGAATTTTATATTAAAGTGCGTTCTTGCTGCATTACTGAAGTGCGTTTGATTTGTTAGTTATCGAGGATAGGCCCGAAAATGGAGAAACTTGAAATGGCCCCGTAAAAAAGTTTGACTTCATAATAGAAAAAGGGATCAAAAACACAGTTTATTTCCGAGTGCTGTAAACCCTATCTATGCTTCTGAAACTGTGATATTAAATTTTCATCACTTTTTTCCTGGAACAGTGAAAAGTATGTTCAGTTTCATTTTTGCATTTGACTTGCACTGATAAACAGAAGGATCTGAGTTACTATGTTCTACATATTATATTAATACATTATTATGTATTTAGAATAATAACTCATAAAATTACGATTATAATTAAATTCATAAAGTCTCATAAAAAGTTTGAAATTTTAATACTATTGTTTTCTTACACAATTTTATTCGTATTTTTTAAAAAAATTTTCTCTTCATATCGTCCATAACTTAAACCATTTAAAAGAAATTTTTTTTGAAACTTTAAAAATGTTTTTAATAAATTTCACAGCTTAGATTAGTGTACATCAATCCATTTGTATTGGCGATCGAAATGGGCTGCAGGTGGCGTAGAGCAGAACTCTTTTCCTATGGCAACACTTCACATGCTTTCCCCATTAGCGTGTGGAAAGTCATAGAGGAAAGAAGTACGTTAGTTTCTCTCTTGATTTTCATATAGATTAAAATCTTTTAACTTGAAAAACTATATGGAACTGAAAACTACTTTAACATAGTTCTAAAGAAAAGTATCATGGAAATTTTAAAAAATATTTTTATTAAATAAAAAGGAAAAATATTAGGAAAGGGGAAAATATCGTAGTACATTCCTATACAACTGAAAAGAGGAGGAGAGGGAAGGGAGAAGGGCTAAAAGCATGAAACCGGTCTCTCCCCAGATGGCGTATTCGAGTGTTGCGATCGCGAATCGTCCAGACTAAGTTATAAACGCCCCCCTTTTACAGGTGATTGCAACGCTCGAATACGCCATCTGGCCTCTCCTCCTCTTTTCAGTACTACGATATTTTTTCCTTTTCTTAATATTTTTCCTTTTCAATTAATGAAAATATTTTTTAAAATTTCCATGATGCTCTCCTTTAGAACTATGTTTAATGTAGTTTTCAGTATTCCTATACATTTATACATATTCCTATGCGTAGTTTCCGAACTTAAAAGATTTTAATCTATAGGAAAATCTAGACAGAAACTAACGTACTTCCTTCTTCTATGACTCTCCTCACGCTAATGGTGAAAGCATGTGAAGTGTTGCCATAGGTAATGAGTTCATATCTACAAGGTAATACATAGTTCATAATACAGTTCATATCAATAAGTAAGCCATAGGTAATTAGTTCATATATATAATATTATCATATCTGATACATAATCTGAAATTCTGAGTAAAAACCAGCAACCATGGCTGTTGCCACCAGTAACCCATTATGCTTCTTTTTTATATTCATGATTCTCACCTGTTGCTATCTCATCAGTTGGAAGGTCCCGCAGTGGACTGATCGTTAAGACACAGTTCCCAGCTGATCACCGAAGTCAAGCATCACTGGCTACGGTCAGTGTGCGGGTGGGTGACCACTTGGATCAGTCTGCGTAGGGACCGAGAGTGTGCGGTATTGGTACTCGTTAAACTGTGCTACCGTAAAGTGCTCGATTTCGCGCGCAGGTCGTCGGGCTACCGAAGCGGGGGTGCCATCCCCTCTGCAGAGGATCAAAATTGTGATGGCATGTCTTCGGATCATCCTCCGAGATGTTTCCCAGATCGTCACCAATAGCCCATTGTGCAGCTTTAGTGCGACGTAAATTAACAACAACAACAACAGTTGGAAGACTTAGTGACAAATTTAAAAAAGCCAGCACTAACACTGTCAGTACTGCTTTTTTGTTTACTTTCGGAGTCAGCTGTATTTAAAATAGTGAAAGAGATGTTAGACATTCAGAAGACATTGAATTCAAAAATTGATCTTAAACTATTGAAAGATTTATATATTCTTTTCAAACTAACACATATACAGTTGTAAATTTAAATGACCTTGGAATCTATTATTTCATTAGAATTTGGAAGCTAGTATTTATTAGTCTCATTTTAAAATTGGTAAGAGTCTGTTGCTTTTTCTTATATCCGTTTAATAATAATAAAAATAGCTTATTTGAAATTAATTTTGTCGTTTTTTTTTGTGTTTGTGTTCCATGCAAGAAATATTTCCTTAAGTGTCAATATTATTTCGGAGAGCGTCACATACGTACTTATATACTACATTATTAATTGTGTCTGAATAAAGACATAAATTGTGTCTTCCACAGGTTTTTTTCTTCATTTGTGTGTCACATAGATTTAAATATTTATCAAGTTTATCATTAATTACATGCAACAAATGTGAAAAAAGTATAAAATGCATTTTTTTATAAATTTTTATTTTTTGGAAACAGTTTCATTTGTTAAACTTTAGTTTAAGGAACCATGTGTTAGTAACTAGTATATCAGAAATAACTAAAAACTTTCGTGGGGCATAATAGATGCTGTAATTTTTTCTGAGCATATTTTGAAATCAGGAGAAGTTGGGTTAAAAATTATTGTAATATTAAGTATAGCTAGTATCTATGAAATTTTACTTAAAAATTTTATACTTGAATATATCAGAGTATAAATTTTAGTTCAAAATATGCTGTAAGCTGTTTGCTCCCAGAATTCTCCCTAAGAAACTGAAAGGGCAGGGCACTGCATCTTAGAAAAAGGCACTTTGTTTTCCGAAAAAACACTATTTTAACACTGTAAAATTTATCGAAATGTGTAATATTTTGTGATAACTGATTATTTAAATTATCCTCTTATGCTATTTTATGTGTATATTTCAAAAAATAGTTCTGTCTCATTATGAGAATAAGAGAGAAATTTGTAGTTTATAAAAATAATCAAAGACATGCTAATAGACAATCTCTGGACATAAATTTTTCTCAAAAAAGTAAGCTAAAAGAATTATTAATTAATAAACAACTTGAAAGCTTTTTATGTAATTTAAATTGAAAATTAAGAGAAGATAAATATTTACAGTTGCAATTTTTTAAAAAGGGATTTATGTAAGAAATAAAATAACTTTAAAAATTGAAATAACTGAAAAATTTATTAATATTCTCTCCGAATTAAACCTATAAACACAGATAATTTTACTAGTGTGTAATTATTATTTAAACAGTAAATTACCTTTTTAAAAATGGAATATGAATAAAAAGGCATTGCTTTTTAGGGGTAGCTGCTTATTTTTACAAAGAGGGCACATTTATAGGGATCAAAGGGCAGGCAGGGTGAACCGCCCTTCTAAAAAGGCTTTGGGGGAACACTGTTTGCTCCTATTAAACAATGCTAAACAGTATTTGACAGAATTTTTTTTTAATAAAAGTTTAATATGCTAAATTGATAAAAATCATAACTAAAAAATTTATATTGAGCATAAATTTAACCAAATAACTACTCTATACAATCATTAACTAAAAATAATGCTCAAATTTTGTTTCATTGATATCATTTCGTTTAAATTGTAACAAATTAAAAAAAAATCATTAAATGGTTTTTAAGATACCACTGACATAAGTTTTACAATCATAGAATTATTTCATTTATTTTTATACAAGCTATCTAAAGATTAATTTTTAAATAAACATAAAATACCTTTTGTAATTCAATATTCCATGGCTAATAGCCTTAAAAAAATCTAAACTTTTGGGAAATTGTTGGGAGGGGGGAGACATATGCACACGAATGTTATACCTTTGGTTAGAAAATAATGTCAATAAACAATAAAGGAAAATAATATGAAGCTCCTCATGTGTCTTGCCTTGAAAGATATTTTAACTAATCGACTATGTAGCTCTGCAAATCATTCAATAGTTTCTCTATCTACAGCTACTCATACAGGGATCTGTCCAGGGCAAATTTACTGCCGTTAAGCGGTAGCCTCACAAATTCAATTTAAGGAAAAGTGGTAGCTTCACAAATTCAATTTAAAGAAAAACGGTAGTTTCACAAAATACTTTTAACATATTTTCGAAAAATATTTAAATATTTTTGAAAATATTTTCTTATTTTACCATATTTTTGTGTTGATTTTTTAATAAAATTTTTAAATTTCACAAATTATGTCTAAATTTTCACAAAATACTTACCTCTAAAAAAGACCTAGACAGACCCCTGTCATGTTCTTATCTAAATGTTTATGAAAATTGCAAAATCTGACAACGATAGAGAAGAGAAAATTAAACCACTGCTATCCTGATCTAAAAACATTAAGTTTGCTCTAAAAAAGTAAAATTCTCCAAAAACAACATGGGCGAGTCATATTGAATTTCATATCATGCATGTTGTACATCAACGAATTCATTAAGATTCAATCACAAAAAAAGAATTTAAATGTTATCTCAATCAATATAAATAATAATAATAAAAACAAAAATAAAGTAAGTCATTTTTAAACTTTTTCTTATTTAATAGTTTTTGCATTTGATAAGTTTGGCTAACTTTGGTTATTTAACAACCTTGGAACCCTTAATTCCATTATTCTTGCTATAAATGAATTTAGTTTGACTGCAATTTGTTGAAAATGTCCAAAAATTTTTTAATGTAAAGAATTTGTTTTTGTTGCATAAAATTTTAGTTAAATAAGTTATAAAATATAATGAATATATTTATTTAGTTCTGAATGCAATAATTAAAAAGTAGTTTTAACAGTGCTGCGTTGCTACCAACTGTTTTGATTATATCCTATTTGTTCCGATTTTTTTAGCCTTGTTCCAAAAATACGATTTTCAGTCAAAATGTTCTGATTTTTCGATACTCTAGTGCCTTTTCACTCCTTATACTGATTTTTTTGAAACTAGAAGCCAATTTTTTCAAACTAGAAGAAACTGGAAGTAGATTGAAACGAGAAGCAGGGCCTATGATTTTTACACACTTGTCGTAAAATTCCACATATCTGAAGACCATTGAATGGTGGACTTTTCTGGGAATCAAAAACTTATAATCTGATGAAATTTTGAAACTTTTGCTAAATTCTGTTAATGCGACATTTGCATACATATGATTCTTGCGCCAATTTGTTTCTTCGGTTTGGTGGATTTTTTCCATTTTGAATATTTGGAACTGTGCTAGAATATGCTAATATCAGGATTCTTATTCACACGATTTTAATATCAATCATTGATTTTGGTATTTACCTGATATAAAAGTTATGTGTTACGTACATCTCAATTCTTATTCACTAAATTTAAGTACCGTCATTCGGGGCTACTTTGTGCAAATTCGAATTCGGCATTTTTCAAGTGCTGCTATTCGGTATTATGTTTATTTCACGTCAAAAATGTGTGGAATTTGAAGATAGAAGTCTCTTCTATTACTACAAAATTTTTTTTCGAATTTTAAAACGATCTCAGAGTGTGTTTCATTCATCCAATGTCAAAAACTTTTCGAGGACGTCGGATGTCGAAAAGTGTGCGTGGAAACTTTAGTTGTGAAATGCAAAGACGTTGATAAAACAATTGTCGCAAGTGCAAAATTTTTATTTATACATTAATAAGCAATTATATCATGTTAGCGTTTAAAAAAATTTGAAAATTAGTAACAAATAAACGGAAAGTGAAAAAACATGCACTTTGGGGCTACTTTGTGCAAAGTTTCATTCGTTTTTTCTTCGACAAAAAAATGGTCAGACGTTATAAAAAAATACCTGGAACGAGAAACTACCGTGATTACACTTTAGAAAAGCTGCAACAATGTTTGCAAGCAGTTGCTGGTGGTATGTCGATTGCAGAAGCTTCTCGGAAGTACAAAATCCACAGAAATACTATCTCTAATAAAATTTACAAGAAACTCGTGAAACTTCCTGGGAAACTATTATTTTTCTTCTACAAAGATTTTTCTAATGAATTAATCAAACAATTTAACACATAAAAATATATTTTATAGGACATTAGGTGATTTTGACAGAAACTGAAGAGCAAGTTCTGTCATGTTCATTCAAGGATGTTATGTTCAAATTTAACAATATCATAAATGTTAATAAATATGTAATAATTATTATTTTTGAAATTTCATCCATTTCAATGTTTAAAAATGTATATGGTTTCCTTTTGTTTAAACTCAAATGTTTTGAAATAAACATTCTTTTTAAGAAAAAATTCTTCAAAATAAATGATTTTTTAGTGCTGAAAATTATTTTTAAACTAATATCTTTACATATCCTGATGTTTTTGTCTTTAAAAATGTCAACAATTAACTTTTTTAACAATTTTATATCAATATTTTAGTAAAAACATGATTATTAAACTGAATTCCTATCGCTGCACAAAGTAGCCCCAATTGGGGGCTACTTTGTGCAAGGTATGTTTTGATTTATTATTCGTAAATATTGCATACAAATAATGCCAATATTGATCAAATTCACTCATCTGAGTCCAGTTATGAATATAATATCGATAAATTTTACTAAAGTTTGAATTAACATAGTTTTTTTACATGTCAAAGTTCAAAAACTGCGAAATCCTGCACAAAGTAGCCCCGAATGACGGTATCCAATGTCGCGATTTGTATTTGCAAATTTTTGAAACCCAATATCACGACAATCGTATTCTCCCATTTTTGAAATCCAATATTGTGATTTGTATTCACATGATTGTAATACCAATCATTGATTTTTGTACTTATACGTGATTTAAAAAGAAAGCATTGCAATTCGTATTCACACAATCTAAAAATTAGTCTCTGTGATTAGTATTTACGTGAATTAAAACTACAATATCGCAATTTGTATTTTTAAAATACAATGTCGCGATTCATATTCGCGTGATTTTAAAATCCAATATTGTGATTCTTGTAAGAAATAATTTTCCTCTGGAATTAGTTATTATAAAGGTATGATATTCTTCATCAGTAGGTAATTTAATTAGAATTGTTAGGTTCAAAAAATTATGTTAAATATGAACATGCATGATTTATAAATTAATGTATATATTTCTTGCTCATAAAATCAACTGGGCTTTTCACTTAGTGTTACAATTACCCTGGATTGGCTTTGTGTTCCTATTTTTGTTTTTAACAAGTTGGCAGCTATGATTTTAATTTTAATCGTGGGTAATATTTATGAACTAGCATGTTTGAAAAAGTTTTGTAGTAGCCATAATATTAAAAATGTTAGTCAATCAATGTTGCACTTTAGAAGCACCAAAGTGTTAGCTACAGGTGCGGCAAGAAATAGCTTTTGTTAGTAAAATCCTAGTTCCATTTGTAACCATCTTGAAGGCATTTGAAAATTGATTTGTCTCTTTGCATATCTATTGACTGTTAGAAATTTTTTAACAGAGTTTTCGTTATGCAGTATGCTCTATTATTTGTTGTTATCAATTAAAATTTATAATGCTTTATATATTTCACTCTTTTCTTTTAGGTTTTTGACATAATATGATGGACTCACTGTTTGTATTATTTTCACTGCATCCTAAACGTTTGGAATTTATTTTTAATAGAAGTATTTTTTGTTTCTTGAATCCTTGATATGGTCAAGGTTCAGTGTAAAATATTTTCCTGGTGCAGATACATTTTACAAAAAGTCTGGATTGCTTATAGTGTTGTGAAATTAATATTTCTTTCACTATTTTACAATGAATTTGCTGATAAATATTACATTGGTGATGCCTGCATGGAGCCAATATTCTGGCTTGTTGATCATTTCACAAAAATTATTGGTCCTGTAAGTATTTAACATTTTATTAATCTTCAAAAGTGAGATTTTTTTCTCTCTAAATGGTTAAGTCTCTACAGCTTTGAAATATCTTTGCTGTTGTTATATTGCTAAAACAAAAATGTTACTGAAATACCAAATATGATGTTATTTTGACCTTTAACACATTTTTAATATTTCAAATTATATCTATTAATCATTTTGTGTTTGATTTTTAGTTTGTTATCAGATTTTTCCCCTAATTTTTTTTAAATCTGAGGAGGAAAAATAATCTGCAGATATTGTTATAATCTGCAGTGCCTACTGCTATGTTGCAGGGTTTCTGTTACTTGGATAATTTGTAATTTAAAATTTAAGGTATAGAAAAAAGGAGTTCAGATAAACCAAGAGTAAACTATAAAGTTCCAAGTACTAAAATATTTTTTTGAAAATATAAAATTTCAAACAAATTATGACAGGTTTAGCTGCTGTCATGGAAAGGAGCAGTTGCCCTGTGATAATTAGTTAGCAATTCCATACTTAAAAAAATCAGCATTTTAAACTTCATACTTTACTTTTGATTTATCTGAACTCATCTCTTTCTATATTTTAAATTCCTGATGTTGTTGAAAGAAAATTTGTCACGAAAGTTTCCTTTTGAATTATAGTGTCTAGTCATTGCATGCACATCCAGAATGAAGTGATCTGCTTTAGGTTTATATTTTTCATTAGTTAATAGGTTTATATATTTCAAATAATTAATTAAAAGCCTTGTAGCTTAAGATATAAAATTAATTAAAATTTTAGTGGTTTATAATGCCAAAAGTTAAGTGGGTCAGTTTTTGTCTCACCACCTCAGAAAAAATTGATAGAACTAACATTGGGTAATTCATTATATTAATATAATGAATCACCTGATTGTAACCTTCATAATTATAATTCATTATACTGTCGCTGTTTTGAAAAATAATAAAGTTTATCAGCTTTATAATGCATTTTATTGATATTTTAAAGTAGTGTTTTTTGTAAACACCATTTTTATAGCTTGCTAACTTCATAAATTTCAATTAAAATTGATATACCACATATACAATTGAGACAGGAGATGCAGAAAAAACAAGAATTTTATTTTTTGATTTGAACATCCTAATAACTAGTAGAAAGCTGTTGACTTGACATAAATTCACGGACAGTCACAGTTCACAATGGCACAGCATAGATAAAAGTTCTCTTCCCAATATGGTGACTCAACAGTTAACAGGCAAGTTTGGTAACACTTATTATATCTAAAAACACATTAGACGACAGCATTGGGGTTGTCAAGGCTTATCAATCAATACACCATCAGATCGCTGCCAAATGCTTGTTGTCACTGCACAAAGCACTGCAGCATATCATAATAAAGTTTAGCAAAGTGGGAGCATTTGAGCAAGAGCGTAATGCTAAGAACTAAAGGACCTCATCTCTCATCAAACTCATCTGTCGAACATGGAACAGAATACTACCACTGCATAGCAGGCTAAGAAAGAAGAGAGAAACGGACACACAGTCGTATTTTCCTGTGATTGAATTTATATAACATTGATGTCACCAACCAAATGTTGAATAATAACTATTAAGAACCACTAAGAAAGATAAATATATGTTAATTACTCTTGAGAATTATGTTACAGAAAGATATATGCTAATTCCTTGCCGATGATGTTCATTTATACCACTTTGCCCTCAACAAATCTTGCTGCAACTACTAAAAGCGGCACAAATTAGACCTCTAGAGTAAACAGAGCTCTGAATTTTGATAAGTAATGTCAGCTAATCGTCGCTTTTGGATTCGCTGATCAACGGAACATTACATGTAGTTTTTATTACTCATAGGAGGTTCATAATATTTAATCAAGCAGTAATTTTTATAGTATTTTTCATTATTTCTTTGGCCCAAAAAAATTAAAAAACTTAAGTGTAATGAAAACTTCATTAATAACATCCTGTTAAATTGTTAGGAAACTTGCATAAAAAATAGATATAATTAGCTAATGTGTGGAAAGTTTGCTAATTATATCTTACTTCAAAATTTTTTACTTTGATTTGCTTAAATTTTCTTTAGTATGTTTTATAAATACGGATACTACAAAAAATTTATAAAAAATATTGTGAAAGTGTACAAATGTTTTTGTTTATTAAGTTCATTTAGGTAAATAACAATGTTTGTATGATTTATTCACCCTCTAAATTGTTTATCTGATTTCCAAAAACGAGAGAGACACAAAATGAAAAAGGAATATAATGTTTATAAATTGTTATTAATTTGAATTCTAATATTAGTTTTCAGTTTTTGTTTACATGATCCCCGTTTTTTTCATGACTTAAAATCAAATGAGTTATACATTATTTTTAATTATTTCTTTTTGAAATAAATAAATAAAATTATTAAAATGCATTAAGTATTCTGTTAATTGTAATTCTTCTTTTAGGTATGTGTGATAGCAGTCATTTTATTAGCCACATCAATTATAGTTGTTGCATATGCAGTTGGTCTTCCATTTTATTTAAAACAAAATGTTTTCATTTTATTGTTTGCATTATTTATTGGTCATTGGTTACTTTTGAACATCATGTTTTACTATTACATGGCATGCATCACAGATCCTGGTTATCCACCTCAGGTAAGCTTTATATGTAGTAGACCTAGACATTATGTATTATATATTATAGTTCATACAAATATAGATAGACTGAGTTATTTTTTACATTAGTCTCCTTACATTGCACTATGTTATTTTTACTATTACGTAGTCAGTCCTTTTTCAATGAAATGTATTTTTTTTATGGTTGAAACAAAATTATCTTTCATCTATGTTTTTGTGCAACTGATAGAACTATTTGAAATTTCTGAACTGTAACTGATAGAAAATATTTTTAAATTTTCAAACATTTAAAGTTGCTTAAAATATGCTCATATTCTTGCTTGCTGTCTTCAAATTAATTTATTAAAATTTTTCTCTTTTTTTTTCATTATAAGAATTTAACTTTATTGCCTTATAGCTAAATTATTATTATTTTGCTGAGAGTCAATGACTTTTATTAGGGAACCATGATTACTGATGCAGTGTCAATTTGTAAAAGGTGCATTGCTCCAAAACCACCTAGAACTCACCACTGTATTGTTTGTAATCGATGTATTCTAAAAATGGATCATCATTGTCGTATCCTTTCTTTTGCTTCTTATCAGTTAAATTTTAGTTTGAATTTACTATTTTGATCTAGCTGTTACTTTCTAAATAATAATTTTTTTTGTTTAAATTTTCATTTTAAGTGTACAAAATATTTTAATTTAATATTTACTCTATTGCACCTTAATTTTAATATATCTTCATATTTTTAAATTTCCTTTAAAATTAAACAACATATGCAAGTAATTTTCACTGTTGTTTGAAAAACTTCCTCCATTTATTTCTGATTTTATTTTTAACCTGTAAAAAGACTAAAAATATCATATGTCATACATAAAATATCAATATGGAATTTTCAAGCGAGATTTAATGTAGTATAGATTTAGTGTATTACATTTTTGCATCCTATGATTTCTTTGCTCTTTTGTTTTTTACCAGATTAATTTATTTTATTTCATTTTTTGTGGAATTGAACTTAAAGGGAAAAGTTTCTAGTTATTTGAAGAGATTGTTTCACAATAATTATGTTATATGTAATTAATGTAAGATAATTAAATCTCGTTGCAGTTATGAGAAAAAATCAAAAGAAGACTTCTTTTTAAAGTTCTTGAAGGGCAGAAGTCTTCAGATGGGTTGATTTTCCATTAAACATTTAGAAAAGGAGTAAGAAAAAGAGTCCATTTCCGCTTCTTCCTTGAATTTGATCGACACTATAATTGAGAAAAAATTTGTACTTTTGTAATTGGCAATTTTTAAAAAGCGAGGTTAAAATTATTAGCTTTCAAAAATTTGTGTTATTATTTGGTACAAGTAATTTTCTGAGATTCATGAAAAAGTTGAAAATCTTAGCCACATTCACACTCTGAGTTTTCAGGTTCTCTTAACATGGCTCATATTATCAACATATTCTCTACTTTCAGTTAAACTTTGGAAGGATTTACTCTTTTATTTCACTGAAAATTTAAGAATTTTCCTTGTGATGAGACTTTTTGCTCTTGTACACAATATTTCTTGTAATAAAGGGCATGAAAAATTAGGAATTTTTTTATCATCCTTGTGTATCATACTCATTATAAACTATTATCAAGCCAATACTGGATGCAGGTTTTCACCACACATTTTTGATTTTTTCAATCTTATGCTATTGCCTTCCTGCCTGCTTACTTTTCTAATTCCATTAGTCTTTGGTCATTTGATGTTACATTGATATCAGTTCAAGATGTTGTATGTTCAGTGATGGTCAGTTATTAGAGCTATACCTCCAGCCCATTACCGATTAAAGCATTTAAAACTTTTGTTTCTTGTCTTATCCACGATACTCGTTTTTGGTCTTTTCTTATAAATCTAAGTGAACATCTTTACACGCTTTGTTTGATGTTTTTGTATAGATCTGCTATTTAGAGTCCAAGTTTCTACTCCTGAAATAAGTTGAATTAACACACATTGATTAAAAACTTTCCTTTTTAGACATAATAGTATATTGCATAAATGATGTTATTTTTGCCCAAAAGACACCAACCATATTGATTTTTATAGAATTAATTATTTTTTGTCAATTGTGTACTTTAAACATGATTTTTTTTCTTCTGAAAGTTCATTTCAATAATATTTAAAAATTGACTTCACTGGTCATTTTTTATTATGTTTGTTAGGGTTTCTGGAAATATTCAACATAAATTGTTTGTTGTGATAGACTGAATAGTAGTTTTGTAAACATCCTGTTACGTCGCAAAACCATTTTTTTCTCCATTTCAGTTTTATTTTGAAATGATTAAACTCATCAATGAATCATGTATGTACAGTATCAAGTCCCATGGATATCCCTACGTCCATTTTCCTGTTCAGGACGCGTTCATTTTCCAGACACTTTATAACAAACTAAACAAATATCTTTTCCTTTTTCAATTAAAAAAAATTATGCTGGCAATCTGTTGAAAACAGTATCAGCAAAAAAAAAAAAAAAAAAAAAAAAAAAAAAAAAAAAAAAAAAAAAAAANAAAGAAAAAAAATCCTATTTTTTTTTTTTTTTGCTGCTTCTAACATTTATTCTGCATCAATTAGCACACTAAAAGAATTGTTGGAAAAAATAAGAGCAGTTAAAGAAAAATAAACTTGGTGAGAAGAATAAGCTATAAATATTAATGAAGCTGAATATTGATAGTGTTTGAAAAGTACACCAGCAGACATGCTTTATTTTTATTAAAAAAATCTTTATTATTAAAAATCTTTATATTTAATTTATTTACTTATCAAAATAATATAAAACTGCAAAATGTGTGGAATTGATGCCACTAAAGTGTAATCTTGCAGAATATACGTTCATTTATTTTTATTTTGAAAAGATAAAAATTTGAAATGTATAAATGTTAAAATTTACTGCCTTTTTGCTGAATAAAATCAAAATTGTAATTTAAAGGTTAATTATTGTTTCCTGTAGGAAATCTTTTTTTTTCTTTATAGATTTGATGTGGTAGTTTTCCTCATTAGGTGACCTTATATTTTTTTGGAATTGAATTTTTGTTCAAATTTTGTTTTGTTTGAAGAGTCTTATATCCTTTATTTAAATTCATGCTTTTATGACTTATTTTATATTATCAATTAAATAGTTCTTGCATATTTATTTTCCTTAATTAGAAAAAAGCTTGGCTCAATAATTGCATTGGACACTTCAATCATCGGTATTTTTTTATGTTTTGTGTTTATACTTGGATTGGAGTACTATTTTGTATTATATTTGGTATACCTATTTTTCGTAGCCATTTCTGGTACAACTCAGAGGTAATTATACTTACATTTATTCAATCTATGAATAACCTCCTTTAGGTCAACATATAAACTTATTTCCTTTAATTAAAAAAGTCAGAAATACGAATAATATTTTAAGATGTGTGTGTTAGCAAGACAGCACTTCATCAGGAGACACACTGCTTGCCAACACACAGGAGCCTTTCTGTTGGCAGTTATAATACCGACAGCTGACAGTGCCCCGAGGCCTCGTAATGGATACACAAATAAGAAAAAAGCAGTTAGAAAAATTGAAAGCAATGAAAAATTAATGACAAACACACACAATTTAAAAGTACACAGAGTAGGACTTAATAGCAAAATGCCCACATATCAGAAAAATAAATAAAGATAAAGTTACAGTTAGAATGAAAATTTATTTCCTGGTAATAAGTAGCTGCTTATCAGACTTGTTCTCAGATTTTGTATTTAGCTTTTTCTTTTCTTTTTTAATTTCATGATTTACATCATCATACCCCTTCCAGCATTTGAGGTTTGTGTTAAATATTTTTTACAGTGATATTGTACTAAAGCAGAAAAAACAAATGAAATTTTTAAAAAACATTTATGGAACTTTAGACCATGGAATTTAGACAATGACCATTAGACGGTCAGATCATTTATTTCTTTTTTAAAGTATTTGTGTGGTGATTAACCAAAATTTTTTAATTCTAATAAAAATATTTGACATGACATTTGCTATGATAAAAAAATATTTTCTAAAACTACAGAAATTCTGTAGTAGTTGTAGGGCATGCATCGTATAAGGGTTTATAAATCTTAACATTACATTAAAAACTCTAAGGGAGAGACTAAAAATTTCTTGATATTGAAAATTTAGGGCATCAAATGTCAAATATTATAATAAAATATATATATTTTTAAAAAGTTAATCAAAATAATATCTGTACTGACTTTCTAAAACTTGTATACATATGTTTACTTCAAAATAAAGTTGCTTTAAAAATTTCAATAACTTTGCTTCTTCATTTGGTTTGACCTTTTGCTAAAATTCTTCTGTTTTGTCAACTTCTATTCAATATATCCTCTGATGCTGTAAACTTTTTTCTAATCATTGCATACTGTTCATGATATCGAGGTATAATTGTTTAATCATTCATTTGGTGAAGTTTATTAACAATATACAGTGAAACCTCAGTTAAGTGGTTACTCCTAGGAAAAAAATTGTCTGTTTATGGGAAGAGTACCCTAATAACGAAGTTTATTACCATAAATTGTTTTTAGAATATTTTCAATGATATGGAAATAATTAAATATTTACAATAACTATCTACAAGGATATTTATTTAAACTTTAAAAAATATTTTTTTCTATACAAAAAGAATCTATGAAAAAGTTTCATATAAATACATAATTCAAGATGTAGCTACAGATAAATCAATATAATTTTCCTATTAACACAGATTTTCAAGTTAGTCATATGATACACAATAGGAGCTTTTAGTCCTCAGTTGGTTTCAATTATTAGGTTTACACCTCTAACACCTACCCTTCATTTGATAGGATACACAGCTAATATCTCTTAAAAAGTATACCTCCAGCGATTCACAGAAAATAGTGGAAATCAATGCTTACCTGTAAGGTACCAGAACCTGTAGAGTTGATTTATTCATAATTAATCATCTATCAAGTGTTTGAATAAATGCTTATTTCATCTAAACACTTCAAAGATTATGTTTCGTTTCTCTTTTTTTACCCCAGCTGAGTTAAATATAGTCTTCCAATTTATAAGAAAATGAAAGAAAATTTCAGTGGGGAAGAAGCATTGGAGCACTTAAGACATCATTTCAGCTTCTGGGGTCTCATAACCTGTGCGGTTCAGATGAAAAGATTGAAAGATGCCTTTGTCCGAATGAGAAGTATCATTTTCTCTCCTTTCTTTCCAAAGATAAGACAAGGTGTCAGGAGAAAGATTGATTCTTTAGTAGGGGAAATTGATTAAAATTTTTTTTTTAGTTATAGATAAGGCAGCAAATTTACATGCTTTAAAAATGTTGAAAAGTTGCATATTTTTTTGCTTGCAATTTAAAGCAGAAAAAGATTTTGTTTTTCAAATTTAGAAAAAATAGTGTCCGTTTTGAAGAGATGGAAAATAACGTTTCAGGGCAAAAATGACTGTATGTGTCCGATTGTGGAAGTGTCTGCTTTAGGGAGAATGTACATATTGATTTATTCATAGAAGATTCATGGGGAATTAAAAATGTGTCGTCATCTAAAGGCGTCCATTTCGCAGGAGTGTCCATAACAGAAGGTTTCACTGTACAATGAATAATTTAAATATTAAATGCTATAAGGTTTAATAAACTATAGCTTAAGATAATAATTTATAGAGATATCAATTCATTTCATTGTAATAAATAGCTGCTTGTCAGATTTGCTTAAATTTTTGAATTGGAACTTTTTTGAAATATTGGAGTTTACATCTTTAAAGGGTTTATGAATCCCAATAATATGAAAATTGCTAAAAAGAATTGGAGCTGTAATTACTCAGTGCTGAAGGCATTGTGTGGAGCTGGGATTTAATTCCTGATAGTAGTTTGAAGTCAAAGTGCTAACCAATGGGCACCAACTTGTTTGGGAAGTATAGGCAGTCAGAGCAAAATTGCTACCATCATGCAATTGGTCACAAAATTTTCTTGGCATGTTTTCCAGAAGTTCTTGTAACTTAGAGAAGATGTGTAAGTTCCTTCACCAATCTTAAATGTTTATTGTACTACTTAATTCAGCAATTTAACTTCTGACAGGTTTTAAGTAGTATTCCATTCTGCACTATGAGCAAGGTGGTTTGTTTCTTTAACTCTTTTTTGACCATTACAATTGTTGTCGGGCCTCACAACATGACCCATAAAATTGGTGTAATATTGGTAGCACACCGTCTTCTAAAATAATGCTAGAAGTATAGACATTGAGTTAGCCATGAATTTGCAGTAAGTGTTGCAGTTCATGTCAGGAGAAAGAGCCTTATTCCTTAATTCTACCTTTCATTGATATGCATGGTTGTCTATATACGTATTGGTGGATAGTGTAAAGACAGAATAAAAAAAATGCGCTTTGAATAACTTTTGGCCTTATTATTAAATTTTTATAACTTCACAAGCTGTCAGATTCTTATTAAATTTGAAGATTTTTAATATAGTATAACCTCAAATATCCAGATTTCTTAAAGCTGGAAAGTCCAAAATTCCAGCAATGTCTTTTAAGTCAAGATGACAAAGTCAGAATTTTTTTTTTTTTTTTTTTTTTTGCGAGGAGCTGTAAAAAGAGTACATAACATTGAGAAAAAAATAAATTTGATTATTAAAAAAAAACAACCTAGAATTTACATAGATTATTATAAAAAACATCCTTGATAAAAAAAAAACTATTATTAGATTTGGATAAAGAAGACAATAATTTTTAAACAATAGATTCTGCGCCATACTTACTATTACTTGTTGATCCCAAGAACAGCTTTACCAGTTCATTTCAAATGACATCAGAATCTGAGATCACTTTGTTCACCCTTTTCACCTTAGTTTTGTTTAATACCCCATATTTTATACATTAATATCTTTTTGACGTTATTTTGATTCAAAATCATGTTTCCTACTCGTAAGCCCTCAGTACTGCTTGCACATTTGTTTTTATTAGTATGGATTACTAATGAAGCAAAAAAAAAAAAATCGAGATATTGATGTGGATTGATACTTTTTTGTAAAAAACACATCTTTATAATTTAATCATTTCAAAATAAATTGAAACAAAGTAAGCTCTATTGTTTATCTTCAGACATTAGGGTGTGTGACTGTAAAAAATCATAATTCTACTGCTAATTAGCATGGCCAAACTAAATAATAAGGGACAAAAAAGAAAAAAAAACTTTCAATTTAATCATTAAAAAACTAATGTTCTCTATATATCTTCTTGCATAATAAAATCTAGAAAACATAGCAAAATAATCTATACATTTTGTAAATTGAGCTCGCTCATTTTATCTTGTTTCTATTTATTATCCAAGCTTTTATACTTTTATTTCTTTTATACTTTTATTTCTTTGATACTATTTCGTTTTGCACTTCGAATCAGAATTAGTTAATGATGTCAGTGTTCTTGATTATTCCATAAACAATTTACAACACGCAAAATGATTTATTTTACTGTTTTATTTAGAAAAATATAAAATACTAGCTTCATTAATAAAACTGGAAACATTGAAAGCTATAAAATGGCATAAATATAAATTTATTAATGTTCAAAAATAAATAAATGTAAACTCAAAGCCCTTTTGTATCTTCTCCTCCACACGAAAGAATGAACAAGCTCAAAAAAGCAAAACAAATTGTTACTATCGCAACTTAATTTTATGAACTAGATCAAAGTTGAAGATTAAACAGATGATAATTCTCAACTTCTTCCCACCTAAGTTTACTTCTAATTTTAATTACAGTCGAGTAATTACTAATTAACTTACATTCACAAGCATAAGAATTAAAGTAAGAAAATTCAAATATCATTACATTACATTAGGTTACATTTTGTTTAGTCTCCACAAAAAAGAATGAACTATCTTAAAAAAGCAAAACAAACTGTTTCCATAGCAACTTAATTTTATGTATTAAACTGATGATTATTTTCAACCGATACTTTATTTTAAATACATTGAGAAATCTGTTTCCAGCCTTTGGGTCTCTGCCAAAAATTTTTATCTCTTTCAACTAGAGATAATTTGAGAAAAGGATCTGTCTATATTAGTCTATATTAACACTCCGTCGGGCGCGTCTCGAAACTTACGGCATCGGGCGCGATGTATCTGTCAGATACATCTCTGTTTTGTGTGTTTTCTGTTAATATGTATTACTTTAAATCTCCTATTTTTACTCTTTTTAGGTCCAGGCTTTTACACCCGGACCTTTTATTAGTTTTTTATGTATATTTTTAATTTTTATTTAATTTTTATATATTTTTTAATATTTTCAATAATAATTTTTATTTATTAATCACAAACGCTATTACAAAAGTTAAATGCTGTAAAAAACATTTAATTAAACATGTTAAACTGTTGAAAAAGTATAAAAAGGACAGTTATGCACAAATAATACATAATATAAAAGTGACAAATCAATTATTATAATTGAATCCGATTCTAAATTTAAGTCAAATTTTTTCTTCCGATCTGTTTTGCCCATTTAAGTATTATTGTCCTTTCCTACATAAAAATCATCATTATTAACATCATCATCGAGTTCTGAGTCATTTTAAACACTTTTACTGCCATGACAATCAACTTCACGTGTTTCTAAAATATCTTCTTCGTCAGCATCACTTTCATCAAATTCTTCAGCATTTAATTCCTCATTTCCATCACTAAATAGAATACAATGAACTAGCTCTAAGTCTTTCTGAATTTTCAAATCTAAAAAGCGTTTAGCACTCATCGTAGGAAAAAGATAAATAAAAAACGCTCAGGGAATCTCGATACTTCCATGTAGCTTCACGAGACAAACGTTATCGGGCGCGTGTATCTAACAGATACAAAATTTCAAACAAGCTTAGAAACAGGAAATTTTCCTGCACCGAACTGGTCACTACTGCATTCCAAAGTAGCAGGGGGTCAGATGGACAGATACTGATAAGGTCAAGGTCGTAAGAAAATGTTTTAGGGGACAAAAGCAGAGATATTGACACGCCTGTATCTGTCAGATCAACGCGCCCGATGGAGTGTTAATATCGACATATTACAATATATACAACAACCTCCTAATTGAAATAATTCAATTAAAATGATTCAATTAAAATAAATTTTTTTAATAAAAGCATCCAAATGTTTTAATCTTTTGGGATTATGAAATGAATTACACTTAAAAATTTAATGACTCCACAACCAATGGAAATTTTAAAAATGCCACAAGTTTTTTCCTTCTGCAATAAGAGCACTTAGGTGTAAAGGATTACAATTATACTGGATTACTACAAATTATGGTTTTTCTTTTACAGCTAAATAAACTATTTACTTACTCCGAAATTATTTCAAACTTTAAACAAAATGAAATGTCTTGCTCATTTTCAGACAAAAAAGTACATAACTGAAAATAATAATAATAATTATTATTATTCTGATTGTTTTAATGTAACTCGATAAGGAAGCTCATAAAAAATAGTATAGAAGAAAAAAGTAGAATACTTCAACATTGACTTAAAATAATCCAGAAGGTATTTTGACATTAGAAAGTTCCTTAAATGTTTAAAATTTCATGTTGTCTTCTATTAGTTTTTTTTGTTACGTAAGTACAGAGCCATTTGTAGTGATGACAAGGGCAGTAACTTAGAGAAATAAATCTTTAAGAATGTTTCCTCTAAGCAAACAACATTTCACTTCAATTTCGTATCAACTATAAATTTAAGAAAAGTTAAAAGCATAATTCACTGATTAGCTTATAATATTATTCTTTGCAATATGAATAGATTATAACATATATTATTTTAAAATTTCGCAATTTTTAAAATTTTCTATTATAAGTATTTTTCTTTCAGTATAGTTTTTCACCTCACCTCATAAATGTAATAAAAACTGTTGCAGATCAAATTAGCAGACAGCCAAGAACATTACAGGTTTGTTCTAAATTTAATTGACCTCATCAGTATTGACTTATAGACTTAAAATATTTCTGGAACTATAATTAATAATAATATAAATCGTTTATTTTATTTAAATTTTTTTAAAATTTCAGTAAATTTTGCTCCATTTTGTATGTTTTAGTATTCAAATAATAATCTGATAGAATTTTGAAAAAATATTTAGCACAAAAGAAAATATACATTATTAAGTACTTTCAGAGGCTAAACAGCATAGTTTTTGATGTATCTTACAGGCATTAATAATTTATTTAATGTAATTAGTCATTAAATTTAGCTGAATTTTTTATTATTTTTAAAATTTATATATTTTATTTCCTAAGAACTTACGGACGTGAAATATTTTTTTATTAATAATTATTTTCGTCATTAATAAAATATATATGTAGAATAATGATTACTCATTATTTTGACTCTTAGAAAATTATATAATTCCTGGCAGTGGTGTAACTGTCCTATTAGGAGCCCTTGGCATAATAAAAATGTGTGCAGTTTTTTAAAAAACAACTGAAATTGGGTCTGCTGTTCAATGATGGTTATAAAATATAACTAATAACTACGAAAAAATGTTTTAAGTTACAAAATCGGGCACAAAAATTTTTTTCATTATATTAAATCATTATATTTTTTCAAACTATTCGCTTTTTTTTGACTTAAAAAAATATGGGGTTAACCACGATCTTGAAAATATAATCTCTATAGTTTAATCTGGTACGTCGTTGAACATTAAGGACTCTTAATGCTAATTTCATTTTTTGCTTATTTCCCCTTAACTCTAAATCTATTTTAGGAAAAAAAAAATCTTTTTTGCACACAATTGTGAAAATTGTTTTTCGAATGATAATTTCATGCTTAAAAAAAGTTTCTTATAATTATTATTTTTAAATTATAAATTTAAAAATGGTTGGAAAATATAACAATGTAAGTCATACACATTTTTGTATCATTTTCATAAATACAACTTTAGATGACAAATTAAAACTTGAAATGGAATCAGAGAAATGAAATTTTAAAAATGTGACTTTTTAAAAACTTCTTAAATCAAAAACTAGGATTTCATTCTAATTTTACATAGTGACATTTAAAATTTTTAGACTATCACCAAATTAAATAGTAGCAAAAATTGAATATTAACATCGAATTATTTTTGAATAAACCTGTTTCATAATTATGAATAAAAATTTCTTGATTGCCTTAAATATTTGCAGAGAAAGCTGAAGTAGCAAAAAACGAAATTAACGTTAGAGGGTTGAAAATTTTGGCTTCCTTTCTGATTTAACTAGTGGGGCTATATGTTAAAGATTACGGCTATCCCTATAATTGATTCATTGGTCATGATTCAAAATCTATCGCAAAATAACTATGTTAATTCACTGGAAGTACATTTTTGTGTCTGATTCTACAAACTTAAATTTTTAGCACAAATTAATTAGCTTATGAATCTAATTGTGTGCTTTAAAAGCTTTTTAATATAGCTTAGTCTAACCATTTATCTAAAAATAATTTTGTGCACAAAAATATTTAATGATTGTAATTTTTATTAATTAATCTATTAATGTTAAAAATTTTTTTGAATGAATGATGTTGTATTTTTCAAGTCACATTATGCAATTTTGAATAGCAACATACAAAGTTGATCCTAATCAAACCAGTTGCATGGTCCATGTAAAATAAAAAAATGAAGTTGTATTTTTAAATCTTTATTTCTTGGTAGGTTTTATTAGATTTCGTTGAAACATTGGATTTTATTTAACATAATATAAACTTTTTTATACCTTATAATTCAAACAGTTTTGATCTTCCATCATTACTAAATTAAATAATAAGAATAGAAGATGTAGAATAAAGGATAGAATGTGAAGATAATAGAAGATGTAATAAAAATCACTATGGGGGAGGGGGAAGATAAACGCAAGTGTTTGAAATTGGAGAATCCGAATTTAAAGATGTGTATGAGAAGTAGGATGCCTTGACTTCTGTTCTCAGTCTAGGGAAATTACATAGGTGAATAAACCCTTAACTATTGCAACAAGGGGTATTTCTGGATAACTCGGGTAACTAATGAGAAAAAGCAAGGAAAATGTTTGGGTGCAAAATATTGAAAATTATTATATTCGTTCACCATCAATTTTTCTTCGCCCCCACAGACAAGTTTAAAACTTCTACCGCATTGCTAAAACAATATTTGTCCCCGACTCAAGCTGGTGCCCCTGGCAACAGCCAGCCCTTCTACTAGCACAGTACACCACTGCCTGCTAGCTTTATGACTTCACCATTTATCTTTGCCTTGTTTGTTAATCAATCGATGTGTGATTCTACTAGGCACATACAAAATTATGCAAATCAATAAATAACAATGTAACTGTAAATTTGTATAAAAAAATAAATAAGAGTAAATTGTTAAAAAAATTGTAAAAGAGCAATGTTGGAAATGTGTAGTATAATCATACTATTTGAGCATATAGTTAAATATTAAAGTAATTATTTTTGTAAAAATAATGTGTTTGTAGAGACTTGAACAATTACACTACCCTACATTAATGTAATAGACACTTTCAGTTGTTGACAATTTTTTAAATTTATCAAGAAATATTTAAAAGATTATTTTGTAACTTTAGAAGTGATTGTGACATGTGATTTCTCATACTTATCAATAAAGTTTAAAGCTTTCAGAGGTTTGAGTGACCAGTAATAGATTCTGAGCAAAAACAAGCATTTTTAAAGATTTTATATCAGAAAATATAGCAATAAGCTTGTTACTCGTATTGATTACTTTGGTTGTTATTTGTTATTTTTCTTATAAAATTTCATAAAATTAGCTGAAATATTATTATTACATTTTTATAAAAAAAAGTAATATTTTTAACTTACGTTTTTTTTTCACCTTTAAAAATATTTAATAAGACATAAAAAAAAATTCGGGCCATTTTTTTATCAATTGCGAAATTGAAAAAAAAAACTTCCTTATTTTAAAATTTGAAAAAGAAACTTCCTAAAAAATTTTGCAAGATATCAGCATTTAAAGTAGTCTTGTAATCTTTTCACACTGTCAGGGGTGGAAAAAATGAATTTTTTTTCTCATATTTTGTAGTGAATTGTATTGGTAACTAATGTAAAAAGTCCGTTTTGAATATCTGAAAAATTTTCTAAGTAGTTTTTTTTACTTTTAAAGAAATCTCTAAATGTTATGAGTAAATTTCATTTTGTATCATAAAACAAAATTTAATAAGAAACGATAATACCTTACAATAATTATCCATGCACTAAAATGTGATGTTGCAAAGAAAGAAAACATACTTTTATGGGGGGATTTTTAATAAATCTTGTTTAATAGTACAAAATAAGATGTGTGAAAATCCCCTTATTAATTTCATTAAATGATTTTAAGACAACTTAATAAGTTTAAGATAATTTGAGACAAAAAAGAATTTTTTTATAATAATGCCCATATTTTCATGAATATTAAGGTCAGTTTATGAAATTTTATACAATTAATGTTTAATTATTGCCTAATTTTGTTGGCATAGGATGTTCAAAAATACTTGTTTTTGCTCATAATTTATTGCTAGTCTCTGAAACCTCTGAAAGCTTTCAAATTTATGGACAAGTATGAGCAATCACGTGATCCTTAAATTTTAACACCCCTAAAGTTATAGAACAATCCTCTAAGCATTTCTTTAGAAATTTAAACTAATGTCAAAAGCTGAGAGTGTCTCTTCCATTATTGTAGGGTATGTCAATGTCTGTTTTATATCTTTACTTTTTAGTATTTATTAGGGCAAAAAATTTGACCTAATGATGTGTAATTCATTTATAAATGATTTATTTTTAATATAGAACTTTTAAAACCTTGATAAACTTAACCTAGGTAAATTTAAAATAAAAATTTTTGGTATTTATAGTTTTATGTAATAAATAGTTTCAAACTGTGTCATGTCTACAAAAAAAGTTCTTAATTGGGGAATAGTTTAACAGATAGCAAGAAAGTCTTTGGTATGAAAAAGTAGTCTGTGAGCTATTTTTTGATTATATGAGGGTAATTGTCTATATTTTCTCAATTTTTATTTCATTGTTGTAATACAATAACCACATAATTACCTTCTTAACACATAATTGTCTATGAAGTTAATGTAAAATTAAAATTTATAATTGCATATTTTAAATTGTGCTTATATATTATTTAGTAGCTATGTATTTTTTACAGTAATTTTTATTAATATATCTATGACGTAAATAAATTCTGAAAAAGGATATTATATATGAAATAAATTAATCACTTTAAATACTTGTTCATTAGCAACTTTTTAGCTTCTTAAATAAATAGTTTTTTTTTTATAGGAAACATTTGAATATAATTTTCGTACTAATTCCACAAGCCTCGATGACAAATGGGTTTCAACTTTGTATCATTCTTGTGTTGTTTATGCTGCTCTTTTGTGTTTTTCTGTTTTTTGTATTCTTGGTGGATTATTGGCTTGGCATGCAAGACTTATCACAAATGGTGAAACCAGTATTGAAAGTCACATTAACAAAAGAGAAAGGAAGAATCATATTAAAGAAGGGAAAGTAAGCTAAGATAGTTCACATCTTTTAAAATGTTGAAACAATTGATTTCTCAAGTATTCAGTAGAATTCTGTTCAACATGTTAACTGCCTCATTTAATTTCTAGCTAATAGTTCACATTTTTAAAGCATGTTTCAACTTTGTAATTCTTAAGGCGCAGTTCATAGTTTTTCTGTCTTAAATGGAATATCACAATGCAAAAATTTCTTTTTCTGCAATTGATTATACTTACTAACTCTAATTGGAATTTTTGATTCACAATGAGAGTTAGGAATTAGAAGTATCTGTAGAAAAATTGTTGACCATATTAATAGTTAAGCTAATTGTGTTCTGTATTTACAAAAATATTCCAAACATTTTTGTTAACTGTCTGAGCTTCAACATTGCCTAAAGATCTGCTATTAAGAGTTGCTTTTCTACCAGAAAGCAAAGGTTTCTTCCTTTTTTTCTATGAGAAATTTGTGTACTAAAAAGAAATTTTTATACAAACTAGTCTAATGCAAAATGCTTTGTCGGTACAGAAAGGCTATTTTTGAAATATTTCATAAACATTAATTGTTTTTATTTAATGAGATAATTAGAGAGTAATCTTTGTTACGTAAAATTATATGATATGTGTATCTAGACAATATTAAAATCAAAATTTTTTTTATTAAAAGCATAAACCTGTCAGTGTATCTTTATAAACCAAATGACAAAGTTGAAACTCTAAGAAAACAGCGATAATACGAATGAATGACCCATGCAAATTGACAAGTTACTTCAACTAGAGAGAAAAACAGACAATTAAAAGAATTAAAAAATTAAAAGTTGACAGTTAAAAAATTAGTGTTTCCTCACCTACTAAATATTTAAGAACGTGTATCATGCATTCACCTTGATTTCTGAGAGACATTTTTATATAAATTAAACCAAATATTCATTAGTACTACTTATTCACCTAACTGCTGATTTATGTTTATCCATTATTTGGAAAACACCTATTTTTCAATAAATTTTTCTGTATTCTAAAATGTGTTATATTTTCAAAAATGCAATGCTTTTTTTTAATATTAAAGTAACATAATTTGTTGCACATATTTTTCGTGTTTTATTTTCAATATCATTAAAATATATGTATTTTGTTTAAGAAAATATGAATAGGAAATGAAATCAAGGGCGTCGGCAGCGGAGTGCAAGGGGGTGGACTTACATCCCCCTGGCTTTTTTTAAAAACAATTAAAGAGTATAAAAATTTTTTATTAAAAATATTTTTATTCAAAAACAAATAATTAAGCAATTATTGGTAGATAGACTTAGAGGTTGGGCAGCTCTGACGAGCAGGACACATTGACCAGAGGTTTATTCTACCCAAACCCTAGTCGTGATTAGCAAGAAAGCCCTAAAGTTGAAATAAAGTTCAGCAAGCACCTTACAGGAACATCTTACAGTTCCCAGGCATTGACACAATGCTGCCCTAGATGCTCAAATATTTGAGCAGAATAGACATCACAATCACAAAGTATGTGTCGTGATGTCTCTTCTTCTAGATGACATCCCCGACAAAGAGAATTGGATTCTATTCCCATAATGTTTAGGTGTCTCCTGAGGATACAGTGACCAGTAAGAGGACCTATGATCTTCCTTATACTGTTTCTATTAAGCTTTAAGAGCTCCTTTTGACGTACACTAGGACAGTCTCGATTCAGCTCCTTAGCTTGTCTCTGACTGTCAGCAGCGCGCCATTGCTCATGGGCAATCTTGCCCTAAAGCTTGAAAATGGTTGCCCTAAATGAGGAGGGAGAAATTCCCAGCGCAGGTTCAGGGCCCCAGAAAATTTCATTAGAGCCAACCCGTGCTGCTTCATCAGCTAGCTCATTTCCACCAATACCCATATGTCCTGGTACCCAATGCAGGGATACCTTGTTGTGAGCGGACAGGTCACAGAGGACAGAGAAGCATTCCCTCACTAACAAAGAGGTGAATTTACACCTTGACAGTGATAGGAGAGCAGCCTGATTGTCAGAATAGATGCGGATAGTCATATTTTGATATCCCTTGTCTAAGCATAACTTGCAGCACAAGATAATGGCATAGACCTCAGCCTGAAAAACGGTGGCATAGTTTCCCAGGCGAAAGTGAAGTTTGGTACCATCATTATAGCAATAAATTCCTGCTCCTGATTTGGCATCAATCTTTGAACCATCAGTGTACCATATTAGGCATTTGCCTTTAAGCCACCGAGGAGAATTAAATCATTCATCTCTAGTAGGAAAATGGATCTTGAAGGGCTTGTGAAAAACGTATCTTAGTGACATATAGTCACTAGGCATAATAAAAGAGGATATATCCATCACTTGTGAAACAAGATGTCCCCATGACAAGTGCTTGGAATACTCTTTCCATAGGCCAAGGTACATAAGACGCTTTACGCTTGTCTGAGCTTCAACTTCAATGCGTAAGTTCAATGGAAGAAGCCCAAGTGAGCTCTCTAGAGCAGCTGTAGGAGTGGTCCTGAGACAGCCTGACAGGGCTACACGGACCATTCTTTGTAGTCTGTTAAGATTAGACCTTGCGGAGCTCAATCTAGTCCTTGACCACCAGACGATTGCTCCATAAGTGATGATAGGACTAATAATCATTGAGTATACCCAGTAAACTATTTTGGGGGACAGTCCCCAGGTTCTACCAATAGCATTTCTGCAAGATCAGAAAATCTTTCTGGCCCTGTTGGTACAGTATTCAAGTTGATGACCCCAATTTAGTTTGGAGTCAAAATAAACCCCGAGAAACTTGACTTTTTCGTGAGTTCTAATTTATGGTCCAGGTATATGATGAAGGGAACGGACTTTGCTTCCTCGTCATTAGCCGTACCGTTGTATAGTGGAATTATGAATGTTCATTTAGGCCAATATTGAATGAATAAAACAATAACAGTTGAGTTTCCAGGAAATAATGTGCAAATCATTGAATGTAAATTTAGATTTTATTAAGTATAATTTGAATCAGATAGTGGCCACATCTTGAAAATAAGAAATCCCTTAAAGGGATGAAAAAATAATACTCTCTATTGAGAGATCATAAAGCCAGAACAACATTTCTGACCGTTAGAAAATTAAGACTGGGAGGCCCCCGAAGGGGTCCCAGCCTCTCCAATTTAGAAATTCAAAGTGAATATATTTATTCTCAACGGACAGAGAAAGAGTATGGGTAGGAGATCCAAAATTTGGCGATTTATCATAATATATCATAGCCAAAAACAAAGCCAACTAGCATATCCACATGGGTTAAAAAGAACACCTTGGCGATCACAAGTCGCCAACAAATTTATGTGAATTCTTATAACCATGCAACCGAAACATTTTAGCCGTTGGAAAATTAGAATAAAAAGTTATAAATAGATTTTTGTTTTCGATTAGAGGCGACATTGAATTAATATGTCTGCTTAATAATGAAATAAAAAGAAAGTATCCGTTACATTGATCTGGAAGAGAAGAAATAAATATTTTATGTTCGTTTAATAAGATTAAGTTTTTGATTTATTTTAAAAGTAATTCTATTAATAAAAATAAGCTTAAGTAATGAAGGATATTTTAAAAGATAGAAAATAAATATGTGTATGCCAATTCTGGCATCACAAGGTAGTATACATTACCTAGATCAAGTTGCCTTTTTCGTGTGAAGGCTACATAACTTATCTTGGATGGATTGACAGATAAGCCTGATTCAGAACATCATCTAGCTACTTCTAGGAGTGCGTTATTCATGATATGAGAGACTGTTTTTCCATGTTTACCTCTGACAACAATAACACCATCATCAGCGTACCCGATACAGGGAATGCCAAGAGCAGTTAACCGAACTAACAAGGAGTCCATTACCATACACCATAGGATAGGGGACAGAACCTCTCCCTGGGGGCATCCTGCGGTTGCATGCACTTTCATGCTTGCACCCAATAGAAAGGAACAAACATACCTAGAGGATAGCAAATTCGCTATCCACCTGGTAATTATTGAGTTTATGCCTCTGTTCCTAAGTGCATTGATGATAGTCTCAAGAGGGACTTTATCAAACCCACCTTCAATATCAATGAATACCGCGAGAGCCATCTCCTTATGTGTGATAGATTTTTCAAGCAGGTAGGAGAGCTCATACAGAGCGGTGTCTGTAGACTTGCCTGGTTGATAGGCATGCTGTGTGGAGGACAGTGACCTTTCTATGAGCACAGTGTCTCTGAAGTGTCTGTCAATTAGCTTTTCAATCGCTTTCAACAGACAGGAAGTGAGGCTGATTGGTCTGAATGATTTAGCCTCAAAGTAATTCCCCTTACCTGGTTTTGGTATGAAAATCACCCTGGTATTCCTCCAAGAGAGAGGTATATACCCAAGTACTATACAGGATCAAAAAATCCTACATAGAATAGAGGTCAGTGTATTCACCCCCTGGTTAAGCATCATTGGTATGATGTCATCCATGCCTGGTGACTTGTAGGACTTAAACGACTTTATATGGCCCATACAACCTTCTCATAGGAGACCACCATCTTGGCGGCCTCCCAGTCATTCCTACTACAAGTAGTTGTGGTAATAATATGTATATTTTCATTCTCCACAGAATGAGAACCAGGGAAGTGTGCTTCAAGTAGTTCTCCAAGAGCCTCTTCCCCTGATTCACTGTATCTTCCGTTTGTAAGACGGATGGCATTTAAACTGCAATTAAAGTCTTTAGTGAGAATTTTTGCAATCTTTGCGGTGGCAGAAGTAGTGTCAATACCATCGCAGAAAGTCTGCCATGAGCGAGGTTTAGATGCTCTGATCGCCTTGTTATAAGCAGTTAGAGCGTTTCTGAATGACTGCCATTCTCCAGATTTCTTTGCTCTGTTAAATAACTTCCTACATTTTTTTGGTAATTTACTAAGCTCAGAAGACCACCAAGGAACTCGCCTTGGGGAGCTAGTAGACGTACCCTGACAAGAAATATGATACGAATCGAGTATGATCTGTTGCACTTAGTCAACAGT